AAATTTTTGGAAATTGAGCGCGAGAGATTTCAGATAATTTATAAGGAAAGGAACCGGTTTTCGTTTTTCCTTTAATTTTTCTATATGGGCTTTCCTTGAAAGAATTAAGGAGTGGGCTTTCCAAGGACTGAGATGTGGGTTGCGGAGGTACGATACCCTGAATCTTTTCTTGTTTCTATTTGTAATGTTAATTCTCTAATCACATGACCCTGTTTTGGACGCTTCAAATTTTACAAGTCATGTACTTAAAGTGAAAAAGAATTCAATTAAAATTTTTTAATGAAAATTTGCCATGCTTTTCTCTAGAGGCCCAAGATGATGTTCCTATAATAACCATTCATCTTTGAAGTTTTAGCTGGGACTGATATTTTATTCCCCAATAAGCCCTTGCTTCTTGTTACCCGTGTTCTATTCCGAATAAGCCCCATTGTGGAAGGAGAAGATATTCAAGGGCCAAGCCCTTGCTTGTTGTTACTTTACAGTCAACTTGTATGTGTACTATTTTCTGCCTCTGTATTCTTTAGAAAGTATGGCTTTTGTTCTTCATTTTTTTTTTCTTTCCACAAGTTTCGTTTTTTATGATCATTTCATGTTGAGACAATTTTAGACAATGAAAATTTGACACTGGAGGAGCTTCTTGAAGATATCTCTGCCTTATTGTTTGTTTCAAATAATTAAGCAAATGATGTAAAAAGATTAGCATGAAGTGTATATTGTCAGTAGAGACTAGAGAGGAATCAACTTCTATGTAAATTATAGTTAAATGGTGGCTATTCTTGTCATTGGGAACGTTGGAAAATGAAACAATCACTTATGGAAGAACTGTTTGACAGTGCTAGAAATGGCGTTTTAGCTAGCTTTTTACACCATTTTTTAGTGAAGCTTGGAAGTGTACTTGCTACATGCATCATGGCACCCCTTTTATTTGTCTAGTACTTGCGGGATTTGCCAAAATAACCAAAAGGTTTATTGTTTCTAAAATTAGCATTATCTTAATTATACTTTCTGTCATGTGTATTTCTTTTGTTGGACCTATGCAAATATATCTACGAGTGATTCTTTTCTTATTTGTGCAGGAGTAAGATCCTTGAGATTAAACCATCTGAAAAGATTGCTTCAGGTACAACACAGGTAGTACATAAATTATGAAATATAAAATTCTAATATGTGTGTGTTCTTGTGCACTTTGTATTTCATTTTCCCATTTAATTCTTACTATTTGTTTAGATGAAATGATATAGTTTTGCCTTTTCACAGGATTTACGAATGTTTATTTATTTATTTTTAATCTCATCTACTGTTTTCTCGCTTTTCCCTGATGTTTACCTTTTGATTACATTGCATCTCATTTTCCCGATTAAATAGCCGTGACTCATTTAAGATTGTTCTTCTTTCAAACATCTCTGCTGTTTACAAGTTTTGCTTTTTGCTTCTATTAGTTATATTTAGTTGTCAATAGTTAGATTATATTTGGGCTCTTTAATACCACCATGGATCAATTACAAACTGCTTTTACATGGATGCATATTAATGTTTGGCTTTTCTGGAAGTTGCCATCCCATAAACTGGAATAACAACCATCAATATAAGTTTCAGATAAAGATATGAAATCTAGTCATTATAAAGTATTTATCATGTGAAACCATTGGAAGATGTTTTATGTCCTCTTCTGGTTGAAATTGCTGTTCACAATTCAGTCGTTGCATTCTGGAAAATGTTAGTGTTTGGTAAATTTGTATGCTTTGTGACTACATCTGATGAATGCTATTGTACTTTGGTAAAACATAAATTTGGAAGAATAGAATGATGGATTTGTAGCCATGATAAACTGAAGCATAGATCATGATGTTGGAACATCTTTTTTGATAAAGCCAATAAAATTGAATCTTAAACTTTTGCGTTTCTATGTGCTTATTGTAACATGCTTCATCTTTGATTGGATAAATTAATTTTTTAGGTGCAGTTATAGTCACCGGAAAGCAGAGAACCAATTGAATCTATCAAGCTCAATAAAGAAATTGAAGGATCTTGCAGTAATAGAACTGAAAACAATTCGGATGTCAAGTTGGATATCTCATGGATGTTTGCACAGGTAACGTTTTTTTTGTTATTACATATTATTATTAAAATTCATGAACAATCTTGCAAAATATTACTATATTTTTTATCAATAAAATGTAGAATTTATTTTATTTTATTTTGATATGTTTTAATTTTCATTTAATTACTTCAAAAGAAATTTTTAAAAATTGGAGAAAAGTAAAACGACATACAAAATAAATAATTAATTTTCAAACCCAAAATATAAACATTTACTGATGAGATTTTTTGTTGGTATACAAACTTTTACTGATGAGATTTTTTGTTGGTATACACTTTTACAAAGGAATTTAATATAAAATTAAAAGATTAATATTTTTAACAATGAAAATTTTTATCATTAATGGTTTTTTTTGGATGGATTACATAATTAAATTTTTAAAAATCAAAATAAAATTACATTTAATGACAGAAACTTTTGTTGCTAATTAATATTATTGATAAAATTTTAGATTTAATTTTAACAAATATTTTAAAGGAAAAAAAGTTTTAGGACAAAAATGCAAGAATTACCCAGGGAAAATTTTCGTTGCTAAAATCATTGTTATTACTGACAAAAAATCCCATTACTGGAACATTTTTAGTGGCTTCAAATTTTTCGATGGATTTTTACTGACGAAAATTTCATCTATAATGACTATTACTGAAGGAATTGAGAGCATTAGTGACAGAAAATTTTGTAGTGTATATGCAATATTAAATATAAGTCAACTTCAATATGTTAAAAACTGTTTTATTTATACATAAAGATTACATATTATGTTTGTTACTTACGAGTTTTCATAGTTTGATATGTGTGTAGCAAAAAAATTATTCATTCAAAAATCTTTCATTCTATTGCACAAATGTTTCTTCACAATCTTCAAGTAAAAAAAACTCTTTTAACAGATGTAGTAGAAATTGATAATTTTAAAGTTAATTTCACAAGTACACCAATGAATACACAATATTCATCTTTGTCTCAACAAGTTTTATGGATACATCATTGATGCTTTTCAAGCTTGTACACTTATCATGAGAATTTAAATCAACAATCTAAGTTTCAAATTAATTGTCATGAATAAATAGTTCCACAAGAGAAAAT